CGGAAACAAGCTAACGTCGACATGAAGGACATCGTCATCAAAAAAAAGAAGGTGAAGAGTTGGTTTTGTGCAAAACAAACTTACCGCCGTCGTCTTCATCGCTGGAGTCAACGCCCTCCATGAGCGTCTCACGTCCTCCATCGCCCTCCTCCGCCCGCCGCTCAGGCTCATCGTTGCCGTTCTCCGAAGCTTGTTCGCCGTCGCTACTGTCTTCATCGTAAGCGAAGGTATACGGCTTGTCCAAACCCTCCAAGGTGATTCGATCATCGCCCGAGCCGTCCACGGTCATGACCATCCCGCACTTCTTGAAAAGACGGTATCGGTACGCCTGTTGGCTGTCGAGTCTTGCCATGGCCGCTCCCATCCACTGAGTGATCAGGACGCGCCGATCAGAAGCTGTCAGCGACGCGGTTTCCCACCTCTCGAGGTTGTCCGACTGCTCGAGCCATATGTCCATCTGCCTCCCGACTTCCACCTTGAGAAATCGTCCGGCTTCTGCATGAACTGGCTGCACCTCGTCCGTGCACTCCGAAGGGCCATACCAGGCGAGAGTGTTGCAGTGCTTCGCAAGATACTCCTTGAACTCGTCCGTGGTCTGCGCGTGCAAGTTGTCCATGATAAATATAGACCTCGCCTTGGGGAGCTCACCCCGCCCGCGCATCACGCTTTCTCGGGGGCACCCAGGGGCACGACGCGTGCGTACAATGCCCACCCTCCCCCTCTAAAAATGTACAAATGTTGATATGTGGGGTATGTTCCCAAATCCAATACTCTGTACTCTGGGATCACTCCCCCCTCCTCCCTCCCTCCCCCTGCGAGTATTCTTATCTGGCAGCCGCAGCATTGCTGTCGTTCTTATTTGTAGCAGCAGTTTTGCAGCTAGCTCAGGTGTGTGTTCTTATTGGTAAATTCTTAAGTTTTGGATTTTTTTTAGCATCAAATTCTTAAGTGCCATATTCTTAAGTGCGGGCCGGCACTGTATCTCACCTTCCTTGCGGGTATACATACCCCCCTCGCTTCCCCATGGCCCAGTCCTACAGCAGTACTGTATCGAGTCGTTAGTACGTAGCGGTGGAGGTCTAATGCGTGGAATCAGCAAGTATCAGATAGCTCCCGATCAAGGCACTGCTTCTGGTGCGAGAATAGGAATTACTGCTCCTGAGAGGTATTCTAGCCCTCTCACGCAGCGATGCACACACACTGACCTCTCTTTGTGCAATAGAACGACGGTACCGAGTGCGATGAGTAGTGAAGATACTCGGACCCGCTGATATGGCAGGTGTAGTGTCGGAGCAAAGGCCTCCTTATTATGGATGTTATGGTCTTAGTCTATTATTTTAGGGTAAGCTCCGGATGGTAGCTTGGTTGTGAGCAGAGGACAGGAGGACGAGTCCAGACAGCTCTTGCAGAGGCTCCGCTGAATGCGGCCAACTATCTCTGTGGGGGTGCACTAGCGGAACAATGAATACCCCGAACCGTAACAGTTGTTGTTGTTGTTGTTGTTGTCTTCACATTAAACCGTATGTCAGTTGCTAAATGCCAAAATCTAGCAAAGACTCTCAGCCCGTGGTCACGAAAGTGCTAGAGCCATCTGAGGATCTAAAGAACACGCACACATATATAACGAGAAAAAGGTATCCAAGAGCCCGAAGAGGCACACCTAAAAATCCCTGCAGCACCGTATGCGTGCCTCAAAACTGAACTGCACGTCCGTCCCACCGTTCGACTACAGTAGCATCACCCCCTCCCTCCCTGTCCCACTCTATACCAAAACGGAAGATTGCCGACTACAGCATACTGCTGTCTGAAGTGCTGTCTGTACAAAAACACCATGGTAGGCATGGAACAAGCAGCTGGCGGGGCACAAAGCTGCTGTCTGAAGTGCTGTCAGAATGTGTCTGCGGCCGTACAGTGAAAAAGAACAACCAACCAAAGCCATCATAGCAGCAATTGACAATCACCCGAATCTCTCCCGATCGTCTGTGTTAGGCACTGCAGTGAAAAATATCGACACTAGCTAAGAATCGTTCCACATTGAAGGGGTCTTCCACGATCAGGCACAAAACCAAGGCACCCGGGTTAGCCACGCCATCTCTGACGGGTCTCTCTACAAGACCGGTGACGACATCACACAAAACCAACACGGAAAATCAGAAAAAAAAACGAAAAAAAATGACAACACAGATAGAAATGTTTGTCCGTGCGCCACGGGTCGATATCGCCCGCATGCTCCGGTGCCGCTGCTCCATTCGGCGCCGCTGTAGTCAGCCCGAGCAAAACGTCACTCGACCTGCTCCGTCAGCACACGCTCTCGTTGCTGTCCTTCCCAGTCGGTTCCTCGCTTTCTCCCTCATTGCACTCAAGGTTCTTGGTCTGAAAAAAATAAAAATTCTCGCGCCGAATGGTCAACCAGCCCAGTTCAGCTCGTCGCCGCCTGCTCCCTCCTCCTTTGATGGCGAAGCCAGGTTACTGAGGCAATACAGCTCCCTCTAGCAAACCTAGGACCGTGTAGTGCCCGTCCACCTTTCTGATGGTGTCTGCCTCCGCGCACAAAAATGAGATGGGCATCACTACCTACGCCGACGGCCAGAACGGCCCGCGCATCTACATTTTCCAGCCTGACCCCATCAGTGCCGACCCAACTCCATCACCACACGCACGCCTCGCGGCGGATGCGCAGCAGCAAGAAGGTTTCGGTCATCCCTTGAGGGTGAATCTAGCCCTGCTCGCCAGAAAGACCCCCCCCTTTACTACAACCCATGTCTAAGCAAAAAAAGCTTGTCGAGTACCTCACTCAAAATTCATTCATTCGCTCCCGATCGGGTGTGGTCCTGCCTTCTTTCTTGCTGCATGCAGCTGTTGTTTACGTGTCGCAGGAGGAGAAATCCACCCACCGCTCCGCGATTGCAGTGTATCTTCTTGGGATCGCTAGGGTAAGGCCCAACCACCCCTACTTATGGCGTCGTCCGCTACAGCCGGTAGTGCAGTGCGGAGTGTTTCCGCCGAATGTACAACAAGGATCTAAATGGGTGCTCCGTGGCTATTAACAGCCTCCTGCTCAGTATTTACACACATCCAGCGGCCCCCCTCGTCATGTTGCCGCCGACAAGATGTGATATGAAAGGGTGTGGAGTGCACGTACACTCTTTTGCGTGCAACCCATGCGTTCGAATACCGTATCGAGACTAATTGCGTCATGTTTGTGTCGCCGTTCACAGTATCGATTTCTTGCGACGCGGCGATCATCGTGATCTACCTCCAACGCTCCCCGGAATTTGGAGGGACGCCCTGGTTCGTAGTAGAGGATGGACACGGCTTCGCGACGGAGGCGGTGGATGTGGTAAGCGTCTTCTAGCGGCTATGTCGTCGTACGACTATGCTTGTAACCCTCGAGTCGTTGTGCTGCTGCAGTGTCTACGTTGTCGCTTCTTCTTCGGCCAGGCACCAATTCTGCTTGTGTTGAATGCCTGTGTCAATGAATAGCAGTGACCGGAGCGGGCGGAATGCCCCGACAACGTCCAGCGGGCGGAAAAGCTTTAGTCTGTATTGCGTTTGGCAGGCCGGAGAACAGTACAACGCTCTCCTTGTGCGATGGGCTAGAGTTTGCGATTTGCTGTGCGCAGGTCTGTTAAGAAAGGTGCTGCGTACAGCATATCTCAACTGCAGTTTCTGCGAGCTGTTGATGGCTAGACACCGAGTTTTCAAGTTTTCCGTCTGACACACTGCCTGCTGCGGCAACTTAAGGGAAATCTCGATTTTCATGTTACAGCAGGCTGTTCGCTGACGTCGGTCTCTCGACGAACCCGGGGCCACACACGCGTCCAACTCTGCCCACTTGCGGTATAATCTGCTTCGAGTCAGTCGAACATCGTGCCCTCGGCCCATTGTTGTGTGCGTCTCTTCAAAGGTTTGGGGTTACCAGGCTGCGGGGCGATCCTGTCACGGATTGACGACGGCGGTATGTTGCCGTGCCATATGGACTACCGGTGGCGCTGAAGTATCCTACCGCACCCGAGAGGGCCCTTCCGCGCTTTACTACTACCGCCAATACTGCTGCTGCTGCTATTATTTATTGCTCGTTGGCACTGATACCCTAAGTTTCTCTGTCTGGACGTGTTTCTTGTCCCCCTCGCCGCTCCAAAGGTATGGCTGGCGATGCTGCGCATCGCGTTCTTGCTCCCGCACGTGCTAGGCTTTCTCAAGCGCCGGCGCCTCAGCTGCCCCGGCTTCCACCACACTTTTGTGGTGGCAAACATGTTTTTCGTGGTGGCGAAGGTCATCGCCATGCTCGTCGGTGGCCCGGACCCGAAGGTCGCTCTTCTGTGGTGGCTGCTGCTGGTACTCTCGGCCGTGTCAATCGTCGCACAGCGCGGCTGCCTGCACCACCTCCGGAGCAGCATGCCCACCCCGAGGTGCGTGTGTGTTGCCTGTGGTGTTGTTGTGCGACAAAAACGCCCCAAGCAAACCGCAGCAGCAATATCCATGTGTACGATTCTAGCGGTAGTGAAAGAAGGCATTTCTTGCGACTCAGCATTGCCTGTACTTCGTGCTGTTTGCTGGAGGCGCGCATATATTTCGTAAGTTCGTGGAACGGGTGCTTGCGACATCGTTCAGGCTTTCGTGTGACAGGCGGAAGCCTGTAGGTACGACGCGACACATCGTTGTTCATCTATCACGGGTAAGCAGCACGAGAGAGGGAAGTCGCGCCTAATTAGCTCCGTCGGATAACAGGTCGCAGCAGCCACAGTTTCCAACTGGCACAAAGCTACGCTCTTCGTGTAATCATCTATCACTTGCTGGTGCTGCACCGAAGGTCGCGCTAGAATTTACTCACTCCTTCCGAGTGTCTCACCGCAACAACAAAACGCCGCGCGCCTGCGCCCAGGTACAAGACCATCTTCATGGGCTCCCGGCTCGACACACGTCTCCTCGACGAGCAGTATGATCACGATACGGACAGCGACTACGACGACGACGACGACGACGACGACGACGATGACTACTCCTCGTCTGAAGAGCTGGATCGCAGCGCTGGCGGCGTAAATAGCAGCATGGAGGCTGGGGGAAGGGGGGGTGGCGGCGGCGGCAGTGGCAGCGGTGGCTCGGAAGAAACCAAAGCGTACCTCGGACGCGTCACAGGCGCTCACCGACAATCGCCCACGAAGAAGACCGAGCGCCAGCGCACGCAGTCCCGCGCCGCTCATCCCAGTGCTCGGAAGAGAAGGAGGAGACGGAGAAATAGGTCGGGGTCTTACCGGCATCGGCAGGAGTCCACGAGAGAGCTGGTAGACTACTTCGCCGACCGGATGCAGGTGGACCCTCGGCGTGCGGTTCGTTTTTTTGTCTGCTTCTGTTGCGGCCCTTGATGCTGTTGCTGTTGCTGCTGCTGCTGCTGGTTCAGATCGTGTTTCCGGTATCGTGAGCCTCTCGAAGACAGACATATTTCGGTCTCGCACACGGTGGTGTATCCATCTTCTTGCCCTCAGCGCTTGATCGGATGAGAAAGTATTCACAAGGCGTGTAGCATGCTCCCGCTTCCTCCTGCTCAGGCCAACATACCCTTCTCTCATCACCCGTTTTTCAATCTGCCCACCCCTAATTTGTACCCTGCCCTTGCTACCACACACACCTAAGTTCTCACCCATTTTTCTATTTTTTCGCGATACAACAAGCTGCCCACCTAACGCCGCCGCTGCGTACGACGCCCCCCAGAAAGCGAGGGCCGCCTGGTCGGCGAGAGTGAGCGCGCTCCAGAAGAGGTGGCAGGCGTCGTTCCTGAGCGGGGACGGCTGGGGCGTGCGCGGCGGCGGGAACCCGGCGGCGGACCGGGACGCGGCGCTTCGGCTCACGTTCGGGCTGATCGTGCGCCTGTACGCCTACGAAGACACCCTAGAGGACCTGAGGCTGGCGGCGGAGCAGGACCCGATGTGCCTGGAGGCGTTCGCGCCGCAGGTGGGAGGGGGAGGGGTTGGCTGTTGGCTGTTTGCTTGTTGTTAAGGCGTGTTTGGTGTGCTTGCTTGGTTGCTGAAGGACGTGCAGCAGTTGCTGCTGGTGCTTAATTTTAACAAAATCGCATCTGTGTGTGATTGGCTCGCCCAGATTTGCCTTGCCGTATCAGCTTTCAGGCGGATAATTATGCCTGTTTTTCTGTGCCTGTCGCCGCGAGGTGGCGGAGGTCTCGAAGGCAAGTCTAGTTTACCGTTACGCAACGAATGGCATGGGATGGGGAGAACGGGTGTGCGGTTTAGGTCTCTTCCATCATCCGGTGGACTCGCCCTCTGTGTCACAGGTTGGTTGTGTGGAAGAGACTCCGGTTGCAGGCCTGCTTGCATTTCATTCCAACCTCTTGTGCTTCCTCCCTCTCTCCGTCGCAACTCGTCCCCCGCCGTGACCCACGTGACCACTCTCATGCATTTTTGTATGTGCTGCTACTGTTAATGAACGGCGACGAAAAAAATCCGGCGAAACAGCTTGCATCGTTTCTGGTGTGGGACTCTTACTACATGAGCGGGCAGATGGAGGCATGGTTGCTCGCGCGGTGCTCGGAGAACGTCTACTTCGCGCACGCCCTCGAGTTCCAGCTCAGGGCGTCGTGCCTGCCCGCCGCCGCTCTCGCTGCCGTAACCGCGATAGATGGAGCCCCCACTCCTGACGGCGGCGGCGGCAGTGACTTCTTGTCTCCCGGCGGGAAGAATCCACCCGCCTTGGCTGCTTCGCGCCGGGACAGCAGAAATAGCGGCGGCAGCGGCGGCGGTGGATCTCTGGCGGCTACAACCGCGGAGGGCGGAGGTGCGGTGGCAGAAGACGATGACGGTGGCGTTGGCGGCGGCATCGATAGGGTTGGGAGGAGAGCGGTGGAGCTCCTGCTGAAGGAGATCGCGGAGAACGGGGAGCGTGCCGCAAGAAGGCTTGTTGAGGAGGCCGCTGAGGCCGCCGCCGCCACCGCCGTGCGGCCGGCCAGTCTTGGCGAGGGCGACGGCGGCGACGATAGCGGGGGTGAGTCTTCCGGGCGACTGGCTCGTGCGCCTCCGGCGATGACGGCGGCGGTGGTGGGGAGCAAGGACGTGGCTGCCCCCGCCGCCGGCGCACAGGCGAGAGCCGAGGGTGGTGCCGGCGGCGGCGGCGGCGACGGCAAGAGCGAGAAGCAAGCCCCGTTGCTCTACCGACAGACGATCGACTTCCTGGCCAGGCTGGGCGACATCGCGTCCTCCCTGACCCCGCTGTCGAAGGCCGAGAGGACGTCCGTCCTGAAGGAACAGCTGGCGGAGGTCGGCGAGACATTTCTCGGTGCAGGGGCAGCGGTAGGTAAAGGGAGGAGCGGGGACGAGGGGAACGGCGGCGAGCGCCTCGTGTACGTGCCCGTCGGGGACCGTCACCACCGTATCGTTGCCGTCCACCCTTCCGAGTCTTTCGCTTTTTCGACGAGGGAGCGGGCGCCGTGCTTTGTTTGCCTGGAAGTTGTCGGCGCGAAGGAGCCGGGGCTTGGAAGAAAACAGGGGCGGCGGCGGCGGGAGGGGGACCAAGGTGGCCTCGCGGAAGCGGGGCGGGAGGGCGAAGACGAGGAGGGCGAACGAGGCGGCGGCGGTGGCGGTAACATGCTCTCGAGAAGGGTTCAGGCCCTGCGCCAGTGGCTACCCAGCGGCGTGTCGTTTCAGCAGTTGCGATTCCCTGGGTCGTCAAGGGGAGAAGGGTTAGGGGGAGGATTTAAAGGGTGGACGCTTTCCCTGGGTACCGAAGAGAGCGACGACGTCGAGCCGGAGAGCGTAAAGGTAAGTGGTGCGATTCGCGTTCTGTCCGAGGACATCGAACAGGGCGGGGGGGGCACAACCAACAACCTCGGAGTCGGCGGCGGCGGCGGCGGCAATGACGACGAGAGACTTCCCGGAGAGAAGCATAGGCGTCGCCGTGGCGGCGGCGGTTGCAAGGGCCGCCCGGACGACGCGACCGCCGACCACTACCGGCTGCTGGTGGACGAGGAGACCGGGGACACTTCCTCTGGCCCCAGTGCCCTGCCCCTGTCTTCCATAGGCAACGCGGACTGGTGGACGGCGAGCAGCACGGGCACGGGGCGGCCCTGGGGGGGCGACGACGACGACGTCGGCGACGACACGTTAGCGGACGTACTGGAGCGGCGCCTGCCGACGAGCAAGCCGCTGCCGGAGGGGTACACGAGCGGCGGCGGCGGCGGCAGCAGCGGCGGAGCCGACTCTACGGGCGGTGCCTCGCGGCGCGGGAGCGCGGAGGAGGGGGAATCGGGCGATGGTGGAAGAGGGGCGGCGGCATCGAGTGGAGATGGGGTCCCTCAGCCCCAGGTGCTGTTCAACGAGCTGTGGCACGACAAGAGCAACCGGATACGGAGGGTCTCGCCGTGGGCCGAGGAGCCAGGGTGGCGCCTCCTCCCGGTCATCGTCAAGAGCAACGACGACCTGCGCCAGGAGCAACTGGCCTCCCAGCTCCTGTTCGTCATGCAGCGCATCCTCCGGGCGGAAGGGGTCAGGGCGTGGCTGCGCCCGTACGACATCGTGGCCCTGTCCGCGGACACGGGGCTGGTGGAGGCCGTCCCGGACACGATATCGCTGGACGCACTGCGGAGGTACCGTGGAAGCGGGCGGGAAGGGGCGAAGGTGGCGGCGGCGGCGGCGGAGGGAGGCGACGCTTCTGCGGCGGCGGCATCGCGCTTCAGGTGCGTGTGCGCGCGAGAGGAGGGAGCGCTGGTTTTGTCTTGTGCTTGTGTGAGCGAACATGCGACATTGCTTAGGTTGGTGCCATGTGGCCGATATTGGTGCACGCGCGTCTTGATAGCAACGCGCGTGGTATGCAGCCGTCGTGTGCATGCAGCACACCCGCGTGCACTTCCCTTCATTTGTTTGTTCTCCTGTTTGTGGCGGGTGTTGACAAGAAGTGACCCTGTTCATGCACGCGTGCACGTGTGCCTTCGTTTTTTTCCCAGTCTCTCCTCGGCTTGCTCGAGCACCCTTGGTCG